ACAGCAGCAGCAGCAGCAGCAGCAGCAGCAGCAGCAGCAGCAGCAGCAGCAGTGGGCTTAGATCTAGTAAACGATTAAGGAGCCAAAGATGGTCAGAGGGAGACGAATCACCAGGAGGCTCCCGTGTCAGTGCAGCAGACACAGCAGCAGCAGCAGCAGCAGCAGCAGCAGCAGCAGCACCAACTGGATATTCATACAGCAACAGCAGCGAGCAGCAACGCAATTTCCTTTCCTCAGGATCTCCTGCTGCAGCAGCAGAACCAACAGCAGCAGCAGCAGCAGCAGCAGCAGCAGGTGATGAAACTCATGGTCGTGTATGGTATGGAGAGCAGCAGCAGCAGCAGCAGCCATGGGGAGCAGCAAGAGCAACAGCAACAGCAGCAGCAGCAGCAGCAGATGGTTATTCTTACAAATATTTACCTAATAAGAGAGTAGGTAAGAGGAAAGGAGAGCAGCAAACGCGACGTCTTGCTGCAGCAGGACCTGCTGCTGCTGCTGCTGCAGCAGCAACACCACGAGGTCATTATATGCAGCAGCGGCAGCAGCAGCAGCATCGCTATCAGCAGCAACAGCAGCAGCAGCAGCAGAGAGGGAGAGGGACAAGAGGGAGGGCATTAAGGGATATGTATTCCCTTAGTGAGGAATCAGACAGCAGCAACAGCAGCAGCAGCAGCAGCAGCAGCTTATCCTTGTTATCTAATGCAGCAAGCGATAGCGAGGATGGTGTTGCTGCTGCTGCTGCTGCTACTACTACTCCTCCTCCTCCTCCTCTACGCCCCCTTCCTAGCAGCAGCAGCAGCATCAGCAGCAGCAGCAGCAGGATAGGCTTTGCTCGTGCTGCATCTATTGCTTTCCCTCCTGCTGGTGGTGGTGTAGGGTTTGCTGCTGCTGCTGCTGCTGCTGTAGGTGATGGTCCTCTGCAGCAGCAGCAGCAGCAGCAAATATGTCTAGAAATGCTGCTGCTGCTAGCTCGTCATGAGAAGCTATGGAACAGCAGCAGCAGCAGCAGCAGCAGCAGCAGCAGCAGCAGCACGACACCTATCTCCACAACCACAGCAGCTACGCCAACACAACAAACGCCAGCAGCAGCAGCAGGAGCAACCAACAGCAGCAGCAACAGCAGCAGCAGCAGCAGCAGCAGCAAATATACATGGAGGGAAGGAGACTTTTATTATCATTATAGTAAATTATCTCAATCTAATTTGCTGCCGCAAGAAGTTTGCTGCTATTGGCAATCCTTTAAGCCGCTGCTGCATGCGCTGCTGCAGCAGCAGCAGCAGCAAGGGGGCCCCGTTGCTGATGCTGCTGCTAAGGCTGTATTCAAGCAGCACCCTGAGCAGGTACAGGCTACTGTTGCTAATCTTGCTGCTGCTGCTGCTGCTGCAGCAGAAGCTGCAGAAGCAGAAGAAGCAGCAGCAGCAGCAGCAGCAGCAGCAGGGGAGCCAGCTGCTGTTGGTGGTCATGCAGCAGCAGCAGCAAACTCACCTGCTCAGCAGCAGCTACAGCAACAGCTACAACAGCAGCAGCAACAAATGCAGCAACAGCAGCAGCAACAGCAGCAAGTACAACACCCACAAAATATGCATCCTATGCAACAGCAGCAGCAGCAGCAGCAGCAGCAGCAAGAGCAACAGCTGCAGCAGCAGCAACAACAACAATATCTCTCAACAATGAACCCGCCACAGCAGCAGCTGCAGCAACAACAACAGCTGCAGCAGCCACAGCAGCAGCTGCAGCAGCAGCCACAACAACTGCAGCAGCAGCCACAGCAACTGCAACAGCAACAGCAACAGCAACAGCAGCAGCAGCAGCAGCAGCAGCAGCAGCAGCAGCAGCCGACTGAAAACCATAGGGGGGACCTGCTGCAGCCTACAACAGAGGCCAACGCAGCAGCAGTTGCTGCTGCTCCCGCAACAACAGCAGTTGCTGCTGCCCCTGTAGCAGCAGTTGCTGCTGCCCCTGCAGCAGCAGTTGCTGCTGCTCCCGCAACAGCAGCAGTAGGTGCTGCTGCTCCTGCAGCAGTAGGTGCTGCTGCGCCTGCAGCAGCAGCAACAGCAACACCAGTTGCGACAACAGCAGCTGTTCCTGAGGCAGCAGCAGCAACAGCAGCAGCAGCAACAGCAGCAGCAGCAACAGCAGCAGAGACAGGAGCAGCAAAGCTGTCCTCTTCTTTGTCCCCGCAAGACTCAACAAAGACATTAATACCCGACAGCAGCAGCAGCAGCAACAGCAGCAGCAGCAGCAGCAGCAGCAATGAGGCGCGATCGAGTGCTGGGCCCCTTGAGGGACAGCAGCAAACAGCAGCAGCAGGAGCAGCAGCAACAACAACTGCATTAGCAAGTGCAGCAGCTCCTGCTGTAGCTCCTGCAGCAGCAACTGCAGCAGTACCTGCAGCAGCAACTACAGCAGCAGCAACTCCTGCAGTACCTGCAGCAGCAGCACCTGCAGCAGTAACTGCAACTCCTGCAGCAGCAACAGCAGCAGCACCTGCAGCAGTAACTGCAGGTGCTGCAGCTGCAACTGCAGCAGCCCCTGCAGCAGCAACAGCAGCAGCACCTGCAGTAGCAGGTGCAGCAGCAGCAGCAGAGACAGCCGATGCTGCTGCTGCTGCTGCTGCTGCAGTGAGGCAGAGAGACACTGTAGGTGGAGATACACCGTAAACGTTTTCTTTCTTTTTATTTTTATTTTATTTATTTTATTTATTATTAATAAATAAATAAATAAATAAATAAATAAATATAAATAAATAAATAAATATATAAATATATAAATAAATAAATTAGTTAATCAGGTAGATAATTAATTAATAAAGAAATGCATCGTTGCTGCTGCTGTGCAGCACCAGGATATCCACACCCTGCTGCTGCTGTTGTTGCTGCTGTTGCTGCTGCTGCTGCTGCTGCTGCAATTGCTGCATTTGCTGCTCTTATTGCTGCTGTTTTTGCTTTTGCTGCTGCTTTTGCTTTGTGCTGCTGCTGTCGGAGCTGCTGCGGTTGCAGCAGGGGCAGCAGGGGCAGCAGCAGCAGCAGCATCTGCTGCTGCTGCTGCTGCTGCAACAACAACATAATAGTATTAGCTAACAAGGGCCCCTACCCGTGCTGCTGCATGCAGCATAAGAAGACAACTAGGTGTATAAATATATATATTTATATTTATTTGTATATATAAATATATATATTAATATATAAATATAATTATTAATATTTATTATTATTTCTTTTTTATTTAAATAATAATAGAACGTTAAACAGCAGCAGTTGTTGCGGTGTACGTACACCTCGATGGTGGTAAGAGAGGAAGAAGGCATTAAATAAGATAAAAAATAGAAATAAAAGAGAAAAATAATAAAAATAAACAAATATTTATATAAATTATAATAAAAAAAGGAATAAAAAAGAATAATAATATATAAATAAGATGTATAATATAAGGGGGGTTGCTGTTCTTGGGCTTTTTGGGGCCCCCCTTCTTCCTTCCCCCCCTGTTGTCTTATTAGGGGTAATAAAATGCATGAATATAATTCATTTTTTGTGTATAATTGAATAAAATAATAAAAATAATTATATAATAATTATTATTTATTTAAAAAATAGGATTTTATTGGATATATAGATGGTTGTATTAATTTATTATATATTGAGGTGTACGTACACCGCATTCAGCTTTCCATGAATTGATGAATATTTTTTTTTCTTTTTTTTTTTGTATTTTTCTTGTTATTTTTCTTTTTTTTTTGAATAAAAAGTATATAAATAGAAAGAGAATAGAATTTAGCGTTGAATAAATGGTATAATGGCATATAAATTATGTATAAATAGTAGACAAAATCCATTATTTATATTAAATAAAATAGAAAAATGGGGAAAAATTCATAAAATTCAACAAATTTCTTTATTTATGCAAATCTATGAAAAACAAACACAAAAAAGAAATAGGCAAACACAAGAAAAATATTATTTTGCTAAATATTCTTTCCTTAAATATGCAGCTAATTGTATTAAATATGCTAATAAATAGTAAGTATAATTATTTATTTATTTATTTATTTATTTATTTATTTATTTATTTATTTATTTATTTATTTATTTATTTATTTGTTGTGCACAAATAGACACAGAAAGGAAATCAGCAAACACAAGAAAAGTTCTTTTTTTCCAATAAATACACCAATAATAAATAAATAAATAAATAAATAAATAAATAAATAAATAAATAATTATATTAATATATTATTATTTAGATAATTAAATAGATATATGTGGATTATGCATACGATTTATATTTATCCTTCTAGGGTTTAGGGTTTAGGGTTTAGGGTTTAGGGTTTGGTGTTCGTTTTCAATTTTTATTCGTAAATCTTTTTTTCCTCAATTAATTAATTAATTAATTAATTAATTAATTATATTTATTTATTTATTTATTTATATATGTATGCAGTCATTTATTATTATCTCCTTCTTGTATAGATATAAATAATAATAATAATAATAAAGAAGAAGAAAAAGAAGAAAAAAAAGAAGAAAAAGAAGAAAAAGAAGAACGTTTATGTAAATTAAAAGATTATTCTTTATTGAATATATTTTTACAAGAAAATAAACAAAAAAAAAAAATAATTAATAAAAAAAATATTCATAATATTAATAGTAACCTTTTTTCCTTACAACAAGCTATTCTTGCCATGGATTATATTAGTCCTATTACTGGAGCTAAAGTAAGGGTTTAGGGTTTAGGGTTTAGGGTTTAGGAGGGTTTAGGAGGGTTTAGGAGGGTTTAGGAGGGTTTAGGGTTTAGGAGGGTTTAGGAGGGTTTAGGGTTTTTGAGGGTTTAGGAGGGTTTAGGGTTGTTGAGGGTTTAGGAGGGTTTAGGGTTTAGGGTTTAGAATGGTTTATTGTTTATGAGGGTTTAGGGTTTAGGGTTTATTGTCTAGGGTTTATGAGGGTTTAGGGTTTAGGGTTTATGAGGGTTTATGAGGGTTTAGGGTTTAGGGTTTGTTTGTGTCT